CACCTATCTCTCTTGACGGGTAAATGTTAATTGAACTGCGTGCCTTTGCAAGGGCCTACACTGCGCCTTTTTTCTGTCCGACTTTCTAAAGGGGTGTTCCAAACATTCCAACGCTGTACGTTAGCAGACTTTGTACTTTTTATTTTTCTCTGAGGAAGAGGGAGGAAATAGACGCTACCTTATGCATCTCACCATTCAATAAATCAGCATCTTTTGATAGGCGTGTAGAAACGTTCTAGTTAATTGAGCAATGAACTTCGATTTCAAATGATCTTTGCTCGAGCCGTCGCTCCATGCATTATCTTATCGAGCGTTAATAAATCTTGTTTTCTAGTACGTGAGATGGTTTTTCGCACTGCTAGTTTAAGCTGTATTCCACGTGAGGCGCCTTTTCTAATTAGGCTTCACCGCCCACGGGACGGTTCGATTGGCACGAAGCTTCCCCCAAAAGCAGAAGCCCAGAAAAATGTCCAAGTCTCCCCTACGCTAATCTCCACGTTTTTCCATAGCTTTGGGAGCTTTTGGCCTCCGCCAAAGCCAGCAACAGAATCATCGCGCGCTGTTCACGTACTGACTCTTCGCTGTACCCTCTGCCATATGAACACGCGAATCCATTCCTACATAATCGAATCATTCTCTTCGCCGTTCTCTGGTCCGACGGTTCCATTAGTTCCACCTTCGCCTGCAATTTTCTAGTTTCAGACTCGCAGTTTACGTGTGTATGTTCGTATTGCAGACTCAAATATAACATGAATTTAACGTGCCCACTGAAAGACTACTCTGGGCCTTCTTCGCATGTGTTCTAGCGAGCCACAGCCAGCATCCTCGTTGTAACCTTCTCTCGCCGAATACTATCATAGGGACTCGCAGTTTGATCCCTCCAGCATTTGCAGGGTACTATTGAACATTCTGTTGATTTCCCGCTGAAATGTGATTTTCTTCTGTGAATTTTACGACTTTTTCATCGCTTTTTCGCTATCTAGCGCAACGCAGAGAACTTTTATGGCCTGTTATCTTTTCGGCAGGTCTGTGAGAGTTTTTTTTTCTCACAAGGAAATAGGAGCATGTGGTTGTCCAAAAGAGATCATTTTTGTTTCGGGAGTTGAAACAAAATATCAAGGGAGAGTTATTGGTAGGTCAGATTGCATTGTAATCGGCACCGGATTCTGAAAAGAAGAGAGGTGTGAGTGGCGTGCACCAAGCAGAGGGTTATCATCGTTAAAAGGCTTGTGTTTTTCTCATTACAATATCGATATCACATGAGATCAGTAGGTGCAGTAGATAATAAACGCTCTATATGAACCCACTATTTGCCTTTTTTAACGAATTTCGGTGCTATTCAACTAATACTACCCCAAAAAGTCAACAAATTTTTTGCTGGAACTCTGCCCACAGAGGTAATTCAGTGTCCTGATCACGAATATAGCATTCGTTTATGGCACAGGCACCAAATTGGCGCCATTTGGCTCTGCAACATTTTTTGTCGAAATCGATAAAAACCTGCATAATGGGGTTGTTTGATGCCCTGATCACGAATATGACATTTATTTTTGACGCCAGCGCCATTTAGCGCTTTTCTAAGGCTGAGTTGGGAGAAAGAGTGATTTCTTTTAGGTCAACCTCAACGAATGTGATCTTCGTGATCGGGAGGTCAAACTACCCCTGGAGACAAAATTTCAGCGAAGCCAGGCACTTTCAGGCCGAGTGGATGTGATATTCGTGTTCAGGAGGTCGAATTACCCCTAGAACCCAACTTTCAGCCAAATCTGCCCCGTAGAAAAAAGTCGATCAAGATCCGGCCTGTTTTCGGAAAATTGGGGTAGTATTAGTTGAATGGTGCCCGAATTTCTCATGAGATTTCTCGAGGAGAGCGAGTAGCAGTTAGTTTGACATTCCAGAAAGAGAAAGAGCCGCAAACAGTTATTCTGCAGAATCTTAGTGAAATGATATAACCCAGATTCCAATGTAGCAGATCTGATTGGATTTGGTCTACCGGTGTCTTGGTTCGGAGCGAATGCATTGAAAAGTGAAGAAGGTATCCGATGGTTGTCAGAACTTTTCCGTCAATTCTTTTGTTTCCATCAAAGTTTGATTGAAATAGCCACTTTCATGCCTACTGCTGCTTTGCTATTAGTGACCGCTTGGCTGGATCTTCCTCATTAGAGCCTTACTTTCCTCTTCTGCTATCTCATGTCTTCAGCAACTGTTCGCAGAAGGGTTTTTGGCGCATCATCCATAACTGCCACATTGAGGCACTTCAAAAACCCTCGTCGAAGTCAAGATGAGGCCATAACGAACAAATGTATGCTTGTGTATACACGGCGATGTTTCACCACGGGATCGATTAAATAAATGCAGCGTATTGTGCCATCATTCCAGAAAAGTCAGCGCTTCAGACACCAGTCTTCTAGTCACCCTATCGGGCGTTCCTACTAAGTCTATTCATGTTTCCACAACAATATTTGCACATTTTAAGTCTCATAATAGTGTACATCACGCATATGCTTGTCTGCCTGCTCTGATGACCGTTACTGGCTGTTGGCAAGAAATTCTTGTACATGCCTGCGAATTTGCCTTTTGTTATGTTACTAAACTCAGCAATAGAAATTAATCATCACTATATTCGCCATTGTTAGCAACGCCCGTCAGTGCTTCCAACCTTGCATATGGGCAGCGTGAGCGATCCTCCTCTCCAGATGTGGGAGGACTGCGGAGTGTAAACAAGTCGGCCATCTCCGTTGGAACTGGGTCGAAATCAAAATTGGTGATAGTTTTCTTATGGTTGGCCAAGAAAACCTTGGGGAGGCGAAGCAGGTAGCAGTTGTAGGGGTCCATGTCAGGAAAATTTATGGCAAACGGGGTATGGTCTCCCAGCCTTGCTCCTCAATTATTCAGTAGGTCTCCCAAGCACCATAGGGTCTCGCGTCATCACGAACGAGGTGTCCCGAAGCTAGTCTCGGACATTTTTCTCCAAAACTCCCGCGTAACAAATGGTAGCGGTGAAAAGTAGGTATCTAACAGGGCAGCTCGTTGTGTAGCATTCTCCTCGTGTCCCAGAAGCAGCGCAGGAAAACCTTTTTGGAGTGCATACCCGGTTTGGCCTGCTAGTACGGGTCTTCTGTTTGAGATAGTCGTACGGGTAATGTGTGGATGGGAGTCATAGAGAACTCTCTTTATCATCTCCACCAACCAGTCTCTCAGAAATTCGTTTTGAGAGGGCGAAGCGGAGATTGACAAATAGGTATCCTAGTGCATCGTGTGTCGACAGGGACCAGCAGAGCAGCATTTTATCATTGGCCGACGCGCAATACAGCGCGGCTAGCCGAGTGCCATTTAGGGTAAACGCCATCGGGTGTGTGTCAGGACTCACCGCCGCGCCTCGAAACTAGGTCGCCGCGCTGGGAAGTGGGTCACCGCGCGCGGCGATTACATGCTTTAACATGTTTGCATGTTTGAACATGTTTACCTGTTTGGACATGTTCTTGGCAGATGGAAGATGAGGACAAGAGAGAACGCTCCAAGCAAACTGTGATCCCCGGCTGCGGTTGACCTAAGCTTCCCGAGCGCGGCGGTGACTCCTGGCCACGTCAGGTACACCCGAGTCTTGTGGCTAGACTGCAGAATGTAGCCGATCCGCAGTCTAGCGACGGTTAATGAAAGAAAAAGAAGGAAAAACTACCAAAAACTTGCTTAAGAGACGCATGTACTCTCTGGAGTACACGCCGCCTCGAACCTCGAACCACGCGGAAAAAGTGACGCCGTTGTCTGAGATGCACTACTTATTGTATCTGACATGCGTTGCTTACTGTAGAGTCTTTTCGTAAATGTTGGTTGTAGTTTTTTCGTAGAGTGGTGGTGCCTTGATACTTACTATAATGGGGGTTACTCATTTATTACAACACTGTCTTTGGACTCCGCAAAAGCCATCTTCGACAGTTGCTACAGTCACTGTATTACAGACATGAATGCGTTTAAGCCATAATGTACAGGGTGACCCCAAAAAGTTCTTTGGCAATTTCGCGTTTGTGCGTTTTTGAATAGCCATTCATGTTTTCTCTCCGATGGGTTATTTGTATTCCGCAAGCCATTTCGAACTACCGTACGAGTCATCTATCCAATCACTTTCGATTTCTCCTCGCACTGTCTCGAAAAAATCAAAAAGTTGCAGTTGTTGAAACCCATCTTCTGGTCGGTGCTTGTTGCTTGAAGAATGTGCTCGCCACCGACGAGAAAAATTTTCGATCACAACTACCGGAATTGTTGTCTGCTCCTCAGAAAAGGTCAACAGAAGGCAACGGCTGTGAAATCCGTCGGACGCAGACTCTTTCCAGCCTCAGTCACGGTCTGAGGCGGGATCTGTGCCACCGGAAAGACCTCTCATTTCTTCATCGAGCGCATCGTAAAGATTAATGCTGTCTACTCCCAACGGTTCTCCCGTTTACTCCGCCGATGTACTGAAGCCATGCGTGTCGTAAGCACTTTCTCCGGCCCGGATGGTACATGTGCTTGAGCCAAGACTGGGGAGCCAAGCCAACATCCTCGCCAAACCCACGAACTGCCGCTTGTGAAGAGCTGTTTCCCGATTTTGGGGCAAGGACGTTTGGCCTCCCAACTAGCATGGTCCGAACCCCATGGATTATTCCATCTGGGTCGAAAAATCTCAGGAATTCGATGCGCAACGGTTTACCACCTGAAAGTGGCGTTGCTGCGTGTTTAGGACCAAACTACAGCAGAAGAATGCGCGACCATTGTCGGACACTTTGGAAAACGACTACGTAAATGTGTTGAGGCTGAAGGAGGCATTTTTGAACACTTGTTGGAACTTTGTTGTATACGGTCATTGGTACTGATTAGATGAAGACTCCCAGACGTTTAGTTGGCTGATTTCCTTTTTCGAACGGTATTTTTATGCTACCGAAGTATTCCGAAAAATTGCCAGAACTCTCCTTGGTCTCCCTGTCCCATTAATGTAACAAAAAAGCCAGCTTTCAGGGACAAAAATGACTGTTACCGACGAGCAGCTCCTACAAGAGGCAAGAGAAGTCATGAAGCATGCCTACTGGTAATATTCAGTTATTGACATCTATCTCCACAAATGTCGTAGTGATGCCAGGGCCAAGCATACGTCGCGGAATTCGCGACAGGAGGTTGTAGTCGGTCCCCTCGCTTATATATAGTAGCAGGGGACATACTGCGAGGGGGCAGCAGGGGGGGGGGGTTGTAGCTGTAGAGATGAGTAAAGAACACAGCAGCTACATAGCTTGCAAGATGCGTGATGCTTTCGGAATGGAAGTCGAGTACATGGCGCGTGTTGATCAGCGCCTCTGTGCTGAAATTCCTATTCAGTACATGAGGAGGAGGTCTACGGGAGGCCTACAGAGCTTTATAGATGGAAATATGGGCTTCGCAGAGGGAGATCCTTATGCTACAGCTGAAAGGATTCTTGAATGGAAATTCGCAACGGATATTGGATTTTTACTCATAATTGACAGACTAAGCCAAATCCGCCTTCTACTTCGCAAAGCCGCAGATCTCATCCTAAGTTACGCTTTGACGACGTTATGGCTTTTGAAAGGTAAAAAGTTCGCGTTCGCCTCAAATTCTACGTGGACACCTCCGTGAACGCAGTGGATACCACCACACGCTACAAAAACTAACTAAAAAAAACTAAAGGCGGACGTACGCACCGGACAACCTTTTTCTAAGGGGCGGGGCGGACGTACAGGGGGGCTTCGTCCAACCCCCCCCCCCAGTTTTTCGTGACGTGATGCTTGACCTTGGTCGACACTCAGAAAGGAAAACTATTTTAAGCATCTCAATTTCAGCCCCTACAGCAAATTTCCTGTCGGTGCCGCACTGCTTACGGAGGATGACACTATTATTTTGGGTGGTGAGTCGTGTTCCGAGGATGAATTTCAATTTTTTCGCCAACTACTCCAAAGATCTTCATGAGAGCGGCCTTTTTCCTTCTCTCATATGCGAACTCAAAGAAAGTTTGCTTCACTGCAAACCAGTGAAGCAAACTTTCTTTTCTTATTCCACATAGGGAAAAATCGAGGAGTATGGGTATAGGAATAAGTTCACCCAATTTAGTACTTAGCATGTACCATTCTGAAGAAGAGCAACCCCAGTCGGAGCATCAGAAGCAGGATCAGGGTCGATTTGGTAGGAAGACCTGTTCTGGTGGCTCATAGCTGCTTGCCATCCGAGAAAGCAGAACTGGTATTTATACTCCGAAGTGCAGTGCGGCCCCCTTATTTATTGAACTTTGGTCGCATTTAGAGGTCTTTCGGGTATGGAACCCGCTTCCGGAGTGGTTTACTGCACATGGTAGAACTTATACGAGGGCCGAATTAGTGTAGGTCGTTTTCGTAGCACGTTTCTGGGAATGCCAATAAGGGACAAAAAAATCCTAGGGGTTCACGACGAACTCGGCGACAGAAGGTTCTTCTGTCTCCTGGACAAAAGATTCGGGAGTTTCTGGACCCCTCCTATTTCAGAAGGTTCCGACTTATATGAATGCAGGAAAGTAAAGCTGCAGGAACGCAACATATCGTCACCTAGGGGGTGCAGCCATTGGCCCTAGTGACCAAACTTTCTTTGATCTTTCTAGAAGTTGGCGGCAGAAAGGAGCCCCACTTTTGTGATCATCGTATGAACCTCATGCAACAAACTCTTTTAAAAACAGCAAAGCAAAGAACCAGTGGCATATGCAGTGGCAGAAAACCACTAGAAGGGGTCCTCTGTCACTGCGTATGCCACTGGTTTTTGCTCAACGAATCAGTACAGGAGCGGCAAGCGATTCGAGTAAGAACGATCATGCCATGAGTTCAATCCTTCTTTAGCTAATTTTTTATTACTCTTAATACAACCCGAAGGTTAATGGCATGGATCGTCCGCATGGGGTGCCCTTTTGTGTATTAGGGACAAGCAGTCTAGGAAAGACAGCCTGTTCCTGGAAAAGCTTTCTCTGTGTTAACGAAAACCAGTGTTGAGGATTTGTCATGAGCTTTTTCATGGGCGCAAAAGCCGTTCATTTCAGTCAACTGTGAGAATGCCTCCTATGGAGGAACTATATGTGCGGAACGGAATGCGGTAACCACAGCATTGACGAAGGGATACCGTAAATTCAAAGCGATTGCTGTAGGTAAGTGGGATAAAAATATTGCGTTCTAATATGACAGTTCAAGGTGCTGCATCACAGGCATCTATTCAGTAATGCAAAACCGTGTCATAAGTTCAGAGGTCCATTTTTTACTCGCTTCTGAATGTATTCTTCGTTTTCTCGTTTCTTTCTTCATCACATCCTGTACTATAAGGCTTAGTACCGACAGCACATACCAAAGAGCAAGAAAAAGTAAGTGGTTGCAAGCCCAACGACGGCTGTATTTCCCCCTTCCGATTCCTTTTTCTTGCACGTCTTACACATTCGTTTTCCCTCAGCTGTCACGTGCTAAGCGAAGCCCATCTTTGCCGTTCAGAAACTGTTATATTCAGAGTCTCAGGATTTGGGGGGGGAGGCGAGGAGGAGGGGCATGGAGTTAAGCGTCGAGGCCCCTGAGATTCTGACCGTCTGCCCTATTCCTCTCACCGAGGTAGTGATCCCTTCCTTTGCCACAGCTTACCCGACTTCAGTCTTGCGCTCCTAAACGCTCCCTAAATGGTGTAGTCACATAGTTCATACACTTCTCTTCTGTTATGACCTTATGACCTACGAATGAGACACTATTAGTACAGGCGGAAGACCAGATACAACGGATCAAAGAGCAGAAAAGAGCGTTACAACAGACCCCAACGCACTCGTCAATGGCGTTCATCTCTGTGAGCAGTCGCGAAATGAAAGTGGCGCCGCTACAGTGAATGATGCCCACAGCGCTCTCATCACCCACTTTGTGAACGCGATGCGTGATATCCGCGCTGTTATTATAACATCGTCGAGCCGCGGCAAACGTGTTCATGTCCGACTACTTAGGCCAGATGACTCTGACAGAATCACTTCTTCAGATGAGTGCATAAGAGGCACATTGACGTATGGCTGACAAGCTATGTAGAACGTCGGCTTTCATGGCACTTGACGGAAATTTGTCGCAAAAGTCGTATGTTGGGGCTACTACCTAACTTTTAGTGTGCTTGATTCCTCGCGACGTGCACTCTTCATCTGTCGTTCATTCTTGTTCAGCCTGTGGACGCTGCGAATGTGTCAGGGCTGGGTTTTGGCGAAGCGCCAGCCTGCTTCCCACGAAAATTGTCGCTTTTTGGCTGCAACAATTGTGGAGATCGTGTGCTGCCGCCTATACCCCGCCGCTGAACGCCGCCGTCAGCAGATCCACAGCTGACAACACTGTACTTTCAATGGTGATAACGTTTCGACGCTCTCGTACAGCGTGCTCTTTTACACAGAGAAAAAGTTCTTTCTGACGCATAGCAGGATCTGTGGGGTTCCCCTCAACGCATATCGCAGGAACTGTATCTATGAAGACACAGCTTACGATCATCCGACTCGCAGAACCCCTTCGTTTCACAAGCGCCCGCCACCTAATATCCACATCCGAGGCTGAAAAGATGTTTTCCCAAGCCACGCTTAGCGGCGGGACTTGCTGGCTCCCCTCGTTTGGACGTCACCTGTCCTCTATCTGGACCTTCACAGCTGACCAGGTATAGTTGGGAACTCTGTCCCTTGTCCTCAGGTATGCACTGTACTCAGTGCATACCTGTGTTTATTCGCGACTCAAAATGGCAAGAACGTCAGAAGTATAGCAGCTCTCCTTCACTCGTGTCGAATTCCCATTTCTTACGATTTACTATTGGAGGAGCGTGCTTTCAACACAGACTGCGCCCTCAGCTTTATGGATAATGGCATTTGCCACGTGAGAGGTGCATGTATCTGCAGCCGTAGTAGCGTGCTACATTCTCCACTCAAAAGTGCTCGAAAACCGACTGGAGGAGAGGGATACCCTCAAACTGATGCCGTCTCTCGTCGGTCGGTCACATTTCCAGCAGCAGCCAAACGCGCCGCTTGTTGCACGCTCTCACTTCTGGTTGTTCTCTACTTCTGTCTGCGTGTTCACTGCGGGATTTTGGCATCGCTCCAAGCGCTGCCTTGAAGGCACGTTCCGCGATAAATTAAGGCTGAACCTCGCAAACGTGCACGATGGCCAGGTAGGCACCCGCAGAGGCTGCACTATACGCAAAACTTGAAAACTGGCAACCAGAGCGCGGGCGCTCATGTTTTAGGCCCATTGGCGCCCAATAGGCCCATGCCGGCCTCCAGTGACCGTGTCGTTGTGACACTGCCATTGCGCTCTCTCGCCCGTCGTTTTCTGGCCTCTCTCGTCTCTTATCAGTGTATCGTCGCCTTTTGCAATTCACAATTGATCTTGACCATCTTACGCTCGTCCGGTGATCACGATCAATTGCAATAAAGAGGGTCTTATTGCGGGCGCTTTTTCGTGGTTCCTTCTCTTCAATAAGTCAACAACCACAGGGCAATTCTATTTTTGAACTGTATTACCTATGAAGTGTGGTCGCGGGAATTGCCTTTAAAGATGGCGTGGGTGGAGTCAGGAGGCGGCACTTGGGTACTACCCTTTAGCCCGAGCCCGTACTTTTTAGCGGAGGCAGTGGAACGCAACTGCGGATGCGGACCCATATACATTGCACATGGCAGAGACCGCCCTCGGAGTTGGGTGTACAGCTTCTCCTTAGAGGGAGTCGACACTGTCTGACCAAGTGTGCTTACCTAGACTAAGATTAAGGTAGTTACATTTGGAGAGAAGGTCTTACTATAGTGAATGAGAGAAAGGATATTTTATTAGGGTGTGAAACTTCTTAGAGAGGACTAAATTTTTCCAGTTCAGTACACACGTTCCTAACAAGAAATGATTATTTTAGCAACAGAACTGGAGGAGCCATGTAGTCCCTGCGGTATGTGCCGGCAGTTTCTTATAGAATTCGGCGACTTCAAGGTATTGTCATTCTTGTTTTCTATTCATGGAAACAACCAAAAAAACGCTGCTTCAAGGAAGGAATTCCCATCCAATTTGGCTAATTGTAGGATATGTCGTTAATCTGAGAACTAGCAGCAACTCGTAAAGCAGTGCCCCCCAGTCTCTGCCATAGGAACAGCGACGAACTCGTGAAAGGGATGAGATTTCCATCGATCTCTTGAATTCATTTGATTTCTATCCATCTCTTGAACTCGTTTCAAATTTGAGCGAATCATTGAATCTCAAAATGGGAACCTAAGATATCATAAATATCTACAGTTTCGTAACTCACGTCACGTGTGCTCCTATCGACAAGCGAGGACTTAACACGTTGACGACATTCTGAGCCACCGGTGGCTCATAAGTGAGTGGCCACGTGGGACAATTTGAGCCACCGGTGGCTCATAACTTTCTCCATCACTTTTCGGGTTATTGCCGGCAGTCTCAATCGATCTTTTTCTTGCTTTCGAATAACCTGTGAAAGGTGAATGTCCAACAGGGATGAGCAAGAAAAATGTTGCTGCCTCCATGGGATATTTTGAATTAAAAATTGAAATTTTTCAACTAGCTACTGCTGCGGCAGAAACCTCCAAAATAGTTCTTTTTGGACGGAACCTTGGCTGCAGGGACTGCGCGGGCTTTGATCATGAACGTGAGATCTTATTTGTCGTTGGCGCCATATGGCGCCAGATCTTATTTGTCGTTGGCGCCATTTCGGCGCTAGCAGTTTTTTTGGCACCGAATGCGATAGAAACCTCCATAGCTAGGTTATTTGACATCCTTGTCACGAATATCGTTGCCTTCCAGTGTTGGCGCCACCTGGCGCCACTTTGGCGCCAGCGATCTTTTTGACACCGAATTCGATAGAAATGTGTCGGTGTGGCCGTCTATGAATCATTGTAATGTGTGAAAAGCAGAAAATTCCAAGAAAATTCTCAGAAACAGAAGTTATGGTACACATTTTGGAAATCACGATCGCGCTAAAAAGTGGGCGTGATCGCAGGGCGGGGCATGAGATGGCATCCAATAGGGTCAAAGATGGATTGATGTAAAATAGCAGTCTCTGCAC